TACCTAGTCGGGTAATGAAACGTCTTCAAGCAAACAACCAAGCTGAGAGAGCACTAAGGACTCCATAATTCAACCCAGAGCTACATATATTCTCTTCTATTGGAATTTATTGTGATACCTCTTCCACTCCTTAGCTTGAGGGGAGGGGAAAGGCAACTGAGTGAGGATATGATTGTGGTGTATAAAACCATGCATGGCATGGAGAAAGTAGATGGGGAGAATTTTTTCCTAAACTAAGGGTTATCCATCTTGAAGACTCAGTGTTACTGCTGAGTTGAGGGCAGTATGCCTCCAAACACTAGTTGTGGAGGACAATGGTGAGAGATGGATAGATCTCCATCTCCTGTTCTGAATATGGGCCTTAGCCTGATCCACCAGAATCCTTAAATACTGTTGACTATCTAGAGACTCCACTCATGCCTGTACCAGCTTTTCCAATTTTTATAACCTATATGTGTTTGTGTATTGGCAAGGGTGTCCATATGTGCAAAACAGTCATATCTTTTAAAACAGCACAACAGCTGGATGGGCTATATGCTATAACAAAAAACAAAAGTTATTTGTTCCCTATCTTCATCAAAGACGATTAAGGGTGGATATTACTGTTGATATAGTTGAAAGATACCTGAATCATTCGCATATTCATCTTCAGGAGGAGGCAGAGAAGCTCAGAAGCGCAAAGAACTGAAGACCTCTGGAATGAGATGCTGATCCTTTCAATTTAATCATTTAGTGTCTTTCTGTCATGCCTCTCCCTCTCTCACCAAAAGAAATCTTTGTGAAGCTGCATCACAGACTGAAGTATTTTTTTCCACTTTACAGAATAATGTAATTATAATTGCTATCTATGTAAATTATTAATAATAGAGCCACTAATACTTCAGAGGACCTTTTCTTCTCCCACAATTAGAAATGCTAACACAGGGCTGAGATTGCCTAATGATAATACAATGGAAAATGCTTGAAGATTATCCAGAGTAGCAGCATTTGTCTCTATTTAAGATTGCAGCTTACCCAGAACAAATATAACAAGACAATCTCAATTTTCTCCCCACAATGTGGGAAGATGCTAACACATTCTGCAAACCACCCAGACAACACACGGACATCGCTGGGTGCAGCATACAGAAATCAAATTGACCACATTATTGATGCAAGGAGGAGGAAAAACTCAGTTATAACAGTAAAGATGTGGCCAAGGGTTGAGTGTGGAATAGATCAAGAACTGCAAGGATGCACATTCCACATCAAGCTGAAGTGGAAAAACAAAGGCAACCAGTTTCCATGATAAGAGAGTGAGCATATACCCACCATTTTCAAGCAGAACTTCAGGAATCCCTTGGAGGTCCTGAACCTCATTGATAGGGAACCAGAGAAATGTGGAACGAAATCAAAGAAGTTGTTAAGGATGAATGTGAAAAGAGACCGCCAAGACAAAAAACAAAATGAACAAAAACCAGAAGAAACAAGAAGCAGCAATACATGGACAAAGGTGGAATGAATATACCAAAATACTGTACAGTTGGAATCTGTAAAGGTGCTAACCAAATTGTGCCAGCAAAGCTGGAGAATGACACAATGGCCAACAAACTGGAAAAAGTCAGTGTACATACCAATACCAAAGAAAGGAGACTTAACAGAGTGTGCATAGTATTGTATAATATACTTAACTTCACATGCTTCCAAAAGAATGCTCAGCCTCATCCAACACATATTAGACCCCTACATGGAAAAGGAAATTTCATATATTCAAGCTAGTTTTAGAAAAGGTTGAGGAACAAGAGACATTATTGTTGATGCATCCTAGATAATTGAGAAAGCTAAAGAATGCTCAAAAGAAGTTAATATGTGCTCCACTGACTATAGAAAGGCCTTCAGTGGTGTCAACCATGTCAAGCTGTGGAATTTCCTTAGGAAAATGGGGATCCCAGAACAACTTATCGTCCTCTTGCGAAATCTGTACATAGAACAGGAAGCCACAGTCTGGACAGAAAGTGGTGAAACAGATTGGTGCCAGGTTGGCAAAGGAATGGAATATGGCTCTATACTCTCTTCTTATTTATTCAACCTATATGCAGAATATATACTGAGAGAAACTGAATTGGAAGATGTGTGTAGTTTTAAAATTGGAGGAAGAAATGTCAATAACCTTCATTATGGTGATGACTGTATTTTGATAGGCAAAATACAGATCATCTGCAAGCTCTAATAATGAAAGTCATGGAGTACAGTGAAAATTGGGACTACAGTTAAATATAAAGAAGAGCAAACTAATGACAACAGGTTTAGCAACCAGCCGTAGAACTGACAATGAAGACATTGAAGTGGTGGATTGCTTCTGCCTTTTAAGATCACCTGTCGACAGTAAAGGAACAAGCAGTCAAGACATTCACTGCAGACTAATACTTGGTATGGTGGCAATGAAGGTCTTGGAGAAGATATTCAGATGCTGTGATATGTTTATATGTACTGTACAAAGATTAGAATTGTGCAGACTATAGTTTTCCTTGTAACGCAGCAGGATAGAAAGCATACTGATGTGTTGAACTTCAGAGTTGGAGGTGACTCCTGAGAATACCATGGATAACCAGGACAACAAACAAATGGATCATAGGTCAAATCAGTTTTGAATTCTCACTTGAGGCACAAATGATCAGGATCAAATTATAATATTTTGGACACATTATGTATAGACCCAGCTCACTTGAGAAGTCTGTAATGTTGGGAAAGGTGGAAGGAAAGCAAAGAAGATAAGCATCCACCTTGCTGGATGGACTTTTTTTACAGTAACAATAAATACACCCTTGAGAAACCTAAAAGGCCAGATTGAGGACAGATCATCCTGTAGAAAATCTATATATAATTCTAAATAGTAGTTGTTATATTGTCATTATCAAGTGTTGAATGTAGAAAATCCCATGTTCAAATCTGTGGTATCATTTGGTATTAGAAATAGCAGGGAGTTGGGCTTGAGGAAAAAAAAAAAACCTCTGGCTATGATTTGAGACGTTTATTTCCAACAGAATTAAGTTTCCTGAGATGGTGTTAGATTACAGTTTCAGAATTTGCAACCAGCACATCCTTTGAACCCAAGGCGTGTGAAGCAGAATACTCACCACATTGACAATGTAAGCACTTATGGCCCTCCTTGGATGCAGAACATGTTAGAACGCAATATTTTTTGAAATAAATGATGGTGAGGGAAGGATGGTTAAGAACACACTAAGAACCCAACTTCTCTTGTCACTGATATGTTCAGATTTTCTTCCCTCCAACCCACTTCTTAGAAAATCGTTTTCCTTTGCAAATAGTTTTGCAGGTATTTATTTATATCACCAATATACATTACCCCTTGAGAAAATACCATATCCAGAAAGAGAAAGGGCCACCCAGTTGGGATGACCTCAACAAGCTGGGCCTTGCACTTATTTATTTTTTTTAGACTCAGAACCTAACATATCCTACAACAGAAACAGTAATATTTCCATCATTTGTATATATTGCTAAATACTTATTTGATTGATTATGTGCCATCAAGTCAGTGTCAATTCTTAATGACCACATAGGTAGGTTTTCTCCATGATGATCTGTCCTTAATCTGGCCTTTCAGATCTTCCAATGGTGCCACCATCACCACTGTAACTGAGTCCATCCACCTTGCTGCTAGTCATCCTCTTCTCTTTCCTTCCACCTT